CTTTTGATTTTTATTACTATATATATAATTTTTTGCTAGATAGAGCACCCTCTCCCTGCATCAAGTGAAGCTTGTCGGGGTGGTTATTAACTAGTTAAAGGGGCGCAGCTTTACTAGTGCTATAAAGAATTTCGTTCTTCTTTTTTGAAGCAAATTGGATCTTGATCCGTTTATAGCTACGCTCTGTTGCTGCCACGCGGGTCTTTTCGATTTTATAGTTTTATTTCAGGAATACGGACAGGGGTGAGCACAGAAACCTCAAACTGGGGTAATTAAACCCAGTGACAAGATATTTAAGTAAACATTAAAACGAGTTATAAATTAAAGCATCAAGGAATACGAACAAAAATAAAGCATTAAAACACCATCAAATCACGATTAGTACTGGAACGTAGAAATTGTCAGTCTGGATCGTTCTCCCTCCTCTCGCGGCCTGGGCTATATACCTGCGACTTCTTAATCTAGGCGGCGTTGAAATCCCTCAGATCTCACCCCACCAGTCCCTTCTTGTCCTCCAGGCCGTCCTAGCTGAGAGGTTTTAATCCTCTGGCTCCCAGGCTTTGGAAGCCTTGGCCAATAGCATTTTTTTGCTCCTCCCGGGCTTGCGAGTGTTCGCTGGCGGCGACACTCCCGCCTCTTGTTGGTTTAGCTGAGCCTCTAGGTCGCGGATATGGTACTTCATATATTCTAGGAACACTTTCTGTCCCTAGATCTCCTTGTTCTTGAGTCGCTGTATTTCATCTTTGTTGAACTCTGGAGATATACAGATGCCTTGCCGGAAGGTGGCTACTACTTGCAGAAATTCGGCTCGGAGAGTCCCCATCATATAGGAGAGAGGCGACAACTTCTGAGCTTCAGACGACTGTTGATTCATTTTTTCTCAGAACACAGCTTTCATCCGCTCCGAGGTTATTTATAGTCAGGTGGAGCGCCCTTATTCTGACCCATCCGGTGAGAATTCTTCCACCGTCAGGGTCTTTAGTCCTGAGAGCGGGTTACTATTTGACTGTAAGCCGTCTCTTTTCCCGTACCGGCCTCGTGTTAATTGTTACTGTTTTCTTTTCATCTTTTTGTACGAGCTGTTATTCTTGCTCCCTTTAGGAGGTTACGATTCCGGCTATGGTCTTTTAACTTGGGGAGAGTCTGGGAATGTGCATCATAACGCTTGGGTGCTCTGTCGCACCTTTAGCTCGTCGCTGCTAATTACAATAATTGCGAACATTGGGCTAGCTCATACAGGAAAATAAAAGGAAACCGGCAACAATTAGCAAGAGATCGTTACGGGATAATCGGCGTCTTCCAGCTAATAATGGCCAGCTTTCATTCTAAAAGACCCTAGCGGTGGATAAATTCCCACCGGATGGGTCATAACCGCGTGCTCCACCTGCCTTCTACGGATATGAATAACGTCGGCTCCGATACATGCTCGGTCTTAAGTAATTATGAGCATTTGGCCAACTGGAGAGCAGAGACTACCCCCGCTGTCTCAAATGATGCGGACACTAAGAACAGAGTTCCAGCTAGTCATCGCCACTTATAACAACGAAATCTGCCTGCCGCCAAATGCGGACGAAAACTTAAAGCGTCAGTTAATCAAGGACGAAATTCGAGACCAGAGAGTATTCCTGGAGTACATGAAACTCCACATCCGGGACCTGGAAGATCAGCTCAAGCAAAGAGAGGCGGGAGTGTCGTTTCTAGCAAACGCTCCCAAGCCTGAGAGGCAGAAGGAGGATGATCAGAAGCGAAGTCCCCAAGCCGGGGAGCAAGAAACAAGGAATAGCCGGTCCCACTCAGCTGCGGGGAAGCGGCGCTTGTTCAAGGAATGATATCGCGGAGCAGGTCGATCTGGCGGGGTTTGACCTAAAGAGACTATCAACCCCGCTCAGATAAAAGGCGACTATTTAACCGGGCTAGAAACGATTGAGGAACGGGCTCAAGTTTGGAATGATTAACTCTACTATCAATTTTGGTGTTTTATTTTGTATGCTATGTTTTATGGGTCTGCAAATAACTCCTAATTCGTGTGCGTCGTTTTATGATTTTGTACTGTAGTTTAATTACCCAAGTTTGAGGTTTCGGTGCTTATTAACCGTTTCCTGAAATAAACTTTCAAATATTCGAGTCCCGCGTGGCAGCACATTAACAAAGAGGGAGTCAGAGGCTAAGAACGAAAAGGAAAGAAGCATTCTACGTAGCCAAAGGAATTTTTATTTATAACCCCCTCATGCTTCCAAAGGAGCTTGGCAACTTTTCGTCTATAAAACAGCTCTCCCACCCTACACTGTTAGCTCGTTCCATTGCTAGTGGCAATATATATTCATCTCATGTTTATGTAAATGTTTGAAAATTGTGGGCAATACCCATAATCTGTTTAACGACCTTCTTTGTTACACTGCAGCATAATTTTCTGGAGAAAGTGAAGCGGCTAAGAGCTGTATGGATCATTTGGATCTGCAGAACCTCCTGACGCTATGCGAGTACTTACCGAAGACTTGGAGAGTTCAACGACCATCCCCACTCTTGGCTTCATTTGCTGCTTGCAGTTGCTGCTTCAACGCAGCAATTTCATAACTGCCAAAATGCCTACGGCTACAAGCTAGCAGTGTTTCGGCAGAGAAGTCAATCTTTTGCTCACAATGTTTGTGCCTTTGAATGAGACAGTGGGAAAGAAGCAAAGATTAATTGTTAAAAGAAGAAAAAAAAACAATCCCTTGATAAGTTTAAAAAACAGTGAAACGAGAGTATGATTAAAAAGTAACTAATATAAAGTTATTAGATTCGATGAATTACATGAACAGAGATATACAATACAAAAAAATAACGCTGAAAAAAAACAGGGAACAAAATAAAATAAAATCCTATTCAAATTTGCCCACTAAGCGGTGGTTATGCTGCACAGTGTATATTCCTTACATATTCAGAACAGTTTGAAATATTGTTTGCTGAAAGCTGTTATCAAAACAATAGTAGTGCAAATGATAATGGAAGAGAGGAGAAGAGAACATTACAAGCAACTTAAAAATATCGTGTGGAACAGTGCAATTAGATGTGTGCGAATTAGCAGTTGACCTGCCGTCAGGTATGCCTTTTCTTTACAAAAAAAATATAGTTTTAAGAGAGGACGTCAAGAAGTAATAAACAAAATAAAAGCATTTAATCGCACTTTTCTCAAAAACAAACGTGTCTTTGTTCGGTTTATACAAGTTTCTGTTCATGAACGTTTCATACCACAATCTCAAATTTGCTAAGGTTTTTTTGTGAAACATTTACATTCCAGAAAAAAATTAAAGCTGAATTAGACTATTTGAGTGAAAGGGTAAGAGTAAGCATCGAAAATTTTAAACAAACAAATAAATTTAGCTTAGGTAACTTCTGTGCAATCACTAATAAAACTTGTGATAAAAGATTTAGACTACGGTAGCCTTTTGTAACTGTAAAAAAAAGCATATATCTAATATTTAAGCTGGTTTGTTCGACCACTCAAAAAGTTTTAGTAACAGAATATATTCTGAATACTACGATTCGTTTAAACTTAAAGTTTTTTGAAAGCGTATCAGAAAAGCTATAACAATTGATGTTAAACGTATTCGTAGCGTCACTTGAGTGTCGTGCAGGTTAAAGACTCTGAGTCTATTTGGGAAAGCTTTTCTTTTATTGTTGACTAGCTCTGAGTATTCAATTTGTTAATCTGACCCAATGAAAACCCAACAAGAGCAAGGACATTATTTTCGCTAACCTCACCAAACTGTCAACTACTGTTTTTTTCGTTTTTCTAAAAAGCCTTAATCGTAGAGCGATTTTTGTGAATATAAATGAAAAAGATCTAATCTGCAGTGCCCACTGAAAGTAAACTCAAACGTCACAGACAGTTTGATTAAAGCGGCTTAAAGAAAAATGACATATAACGCTTATTTTAATAAAACTATCAGATTACAACCAAAAGCAGAAAGTTTTTTAATGTATCAATCACGTTCTTATATTTGCGGAAAGCTGCGATTGACTAATCCATCAGTTTATAAAATGTCAAAAAACGTTAAAGAAAGCAGCAGATGAGCAAATTGTTTCAAAGTCAGAGGTACTGCCAAACAGTAAACCAGAACAAGTTGTACTTCTTTAAAAAAATTGTTTCAAGAGCTTTTACAAAATAAGAAGCAACTTGAGAAGCAACTAACAATAAGAAGCAACTAACGTGCTACTAATAGAATAAAAACCGTCGTTTCGCCAATTATGATAAAAAAAAGTGTGATCACTTTTGCTTATACAATAATGTTTCAAAATTACAAAGAAATTTCATAATTTTTCCGAAGAAAAGCTATAAAATTTAATACGGCGAATGTAGACACTGTGTAATAGAAGATCTGATCATTGCTTGAAGTATCAATCAAATCTTTTCATTATAATAATTGGCGTGATCTAGCGTTTACAATCCCGTAATAACACATAAAAAAGCTCAATTTTTAGACAGAAACAACAATTCACTCAATTTTCAATAAGAAAACAAAGCTGAAATAAAGCTGAATTTATAATTTCAGGATTTATTTGTTAGGGGCAGTTAAGCAACTTGATGAGCTGTCAAAATACATAGCCTAAGGTCAAGTGATCGACTACAGTCGTTTCGGAATACTTCAGGTTGATTAATGCAGTTTTAAAACAACAACAACTGTAGTAGAGAGATCATTGCTTCAACTTCGACGCAAACAGAAGGTTTGTACACACGTGTAACAAGAACCTCAACCTTCAACGTTTCTAGACTATCTCTGTATCATCATGCTACTGAAGCGCTTCATCAGCCATCTTTCAAAAATCATTTTATTAGGTTCATCAATTTTCTGACATTTTTCTGAACAGGCTACAGAATTGGCACAGAGCATTCAAACGAAGCAAAACAATATTTTACCGAGCAAATAAATTTTGATAAACATTTACAGAAATTCGCTTTTAGCAACATAACTGTAAATTCAATGTTCCAATACTTTACTATCAATCCTTTTACCAACAACAAGTGCGAAACTTTTTTGGACAATTTACTAATTTTAGTAAAAAAAAAATAAAAATTAGTAAAATAAATTATAAATTTATTTAATTTTTTGACAATAATTTAAATACTATCATTATTAACCTTAGCAAATGACAAAAAAAAAA